TGTCTGAAGAATCAGGAGGTCATCTCTAGGAAATTCAAATATTGGCTAGTAAGAAAAAAATTTTAAATTATAGACAAAAAATAACACACAGCAGAATATTTCAACCTTAGCATATTGTTCTTAAAGATGCTATTTACAAATATATAATCTTCCTTATAATTCCATCATGAGGAATATCTATTTGACAAAATATGGCCTTGAGTTGCAACAAGAAGCCTCCTATTTCTTCTTACAAAATATGCTAGCAAAAACCAACACTGCTACAACAAAACCCATCCCCACATTCCATGGCTTCAGAACAATTCCATAAATACAGGGTCGTAAAAAGGCAGCTTGCAAACTCCTGTAGCCAGCAACTTCATTGACTATTCAGTTACAGCAATCTGAAGATTTTTCTTAAGTCTGCAAAAATTGCCAACATTTATACAATTCATACTTGATAACTGATGCCCATATTTGGAAGAAAATTTAGCATTTTATAGCTTATGTGCTTTAAGCCATAGCTCATATTCAGGTACATTTCAGAGCATGTATGGGGATCATATGTTGGTACAACAAAATATCAAAGAACATAAGATTTTCAAATGGCTTGTTTATTTCAAAATACATCTGATATCACACAGCTCTTACCACAGAACTCTAATGTAAGGAATGTAAATAACTCTTTGAAGTTCATATAACACCTGTCTAAAGGAAAAAATATACACATTTGAACTCTAAATATAAAGATACAGGTTCTTATCAAAATAAAAAATTTTGGCTTTCTTTTCTTTTTAAATTTCAATAGACTAAAAAATATATAATTCCCTTATAAGGATGCCTGGTAGTTTAGTGAATTACAAGCTGATCAACTAACCACAGATTAGTAGTTCAAATCTACCAGTGGCTCCATTAAAGAAAGATGAGGTTTTCTGCTCCTGTAAAGATGTACAGCCTTGGAAACTCTATACAGGTTTACTATGAGTTGGAATGGATTCGATGTCTCACCACCACCACCAGGTTCCTGTACAAGGAACCCTGGTAGTACAGTGAATTACTAGTTGGGCTGCTAACAGGAAGGTCAGAAGTTTGATTCTACCAGTTGCTCTGTAAGAGAAAGATGAGGCTTTCTGCTGCCATAGAGATTTCTAGCCTCGAAAACCATACAGGATCACTATGGGTATTTACTGTTTCAGGTCTCTAATTAGATTTTTTTCTTATTAATTTTATAATTGTGTTATCATAAAAGATAACATTTGAGGGAATACTATGTGCCAAAATACTATTTGCTTATTACTTCAAAATCATAACCAAAAACCAAACCCATTGCCATCAAGATGATTCAGTACTTAAAGGATGGGGTAGAGATGCCCCATACGTTTCCAAGGCTATAAATTTTTACAGAAGCAGACTGCCACATCTTTCTCCCAATGAGAGAGCTTGAACTACCAACCTTTCTACAAGTCACCAAGTACTTAGCCACTGTGCCACCAGGGCACTTAAGTGCTTTATAGGCATTATTATAATAAAAGAGTCATTCAACTACATGTATTAAGCTATGTTTCCAGGTTTAATTACTTCTTAATTATATTAGTTAAAGAAATCTGATGACCACTGGAAAATATCTCAATAATTCTACATAATTAAGCCAACATAAGTGTAACCAGAGAACTAATTACAATGAAAGTAACTTAAAAACACATATATCATCAATCATCTTTACTACAACAATATAAATTAGTTATTAGGCAAAAAATCTTTATTAGGCCACGTAACCAGGCATGTTTAAACTGAGCCACACAAGGGGTTAAAAATAACTACAATGAAAGGCCAACAGCCTAGCAGCACAGTGAAGCCAACATTCCCTTCTCTCCTCCCCCTCCCCTTCCCATCTCTCTAGTCCAGTATGAATTGCATGCCCCACTGCACAAGGCCCTGAAAGGTCACAGTAGATGGCTGAGACTTTTGTAAGAGAACAGAAATAACTCAGCAGCTTTGTTACCATAGTCTCTTTTAATCAGTATGTTCAAAATACTTTAATTAGCACTCTGTCTCCACAAGGAAAGCATTTCTTCTGTGCAAGGGGAAGGCATGTATGTATGTACACAGTGTTCTGTTGTATCAGCATCACAACATGGTGCTAGGGCCTCAGATTGTCTTCCAGGAAACTAAAGTCTATAATAAACAACTTTAAAAGGAAAGAGCCTTCCAAATTTACATATTTCATTTGCATTTCTATTACCAAATAACAAAGTGACAGTTAAGTACATTTCATTTGGGTGTCAATTTTTCTGAAAGTTCTTAAGTAAAAATGAAAGTATTGCCACTAAACAATAGCTTTGTTTGGTTAATTAGAATAAAGTAATTTATTCCAAACAATACAAAGTGACATTAATAAAACAAATAAAAAGACAATATTTAAATACTGTCCCTTTTCCTACTAGATCTTCAGTGGGAGGGAAAAAGAAAACAAAACACTGCCTTCCTCAAACAGGAATAAACCACAAGAAACAGTTCCACATGGATACTGTACATTTAACATTTCATCAACCATGAAAAGTCTTAAAACTTGCAGATTTCCTTTCAAAATCGGATTAACTGGAATCAAGACAGAAATTGGTGGTGAACTAAAGATAACCATTTAAAAACCCACAGTCAGGAGGGATATGCATTCATTAAGTGTTACAAACTTATTTTTAACCTTTCAAAATCAAGTTGAGAATATACGCACATAGATCATATCATTCTAAATGCCTGACTAGAGAAATAATCTTCCAAAATTTAAGCAAAAGAGCATTATCATTGTTATTAAGTGCTGTCGAGTCACTTCTGACTCATAGAGACGGTTTCCGAGGAGCTTGAACCACCGACCTTGCAGTTCAAACCCACCTTTCAGTCCAGCACATTAACTCAGCATTACAGGGAATATAGCATACATAATTGCTTGAAAGCCAACTTTTCTACACAGCCATGTTGTTGTTGTTGCTAGGTTTTGTCGAGTCAGTTCCGACCCATAGCAACCCTGTATAGGGTTTCCAAGGAGCAGCTGGTGAGCTTGAATCGACCTTGCAGTTCAAATTGACTTTGTAGTCTAGCACATGAACCCACAGCACCACACCAGTACTCTTAACAAAGATGAAGCCCCCAAGGACCTGGATGGACCCAGCGGCAGCAGCAATGAGCTTAAGCATAGATAACAGTGATTATGGGGCTGGAGCATTCTGTTGTGCACAGTCACTGAGTCAGTGCCGACTCAATGGTACCTAACAACATACCGCTATTAGCTGATAGGAGTATTAAATAACATGATGCATTTAAAGCACTTGACAGAAATGGAAAAGTTGGCTGATGAGGCTTTGGAGATCAACAGGTACTATCAATTATTGCACAAGCATGTAAATGGGCATAACCTATTAAAATAATATACCTGCTATTTTTACGTAGTGTTGTTGTCTGCTGTTCAGTGCCGTAGAGTCGGTTCCAACCCATAGGGACCCTGGTTTCCGAGGAGCAGTTGGTGAACTTGAACTGCCCACCTTCAGGTTCAAACTGACTTTGTAGTCTAGCGCATTAACCCACAGCACCACACCAGGTCTCTCTCATTAAAATCCCATTATCTTTTCATTCCATTTTTCCATGAACTTTTAGAAGCCACCCTCTTACAGACACATACACACACACAGTAATCACTGCAGCATTGCTTGTAATACCAATAATGAAAACAACATAAATGACCTTCAACAGATGATTGGTTAAATAAAGACAATCTCCTTATAATACAACACTATACAATTGTTGGAGTCCTGGTGTGGCACTATGAGATAATGCATCGGCCCGCAAGGTTGGTTTGAACTACAAAGTCAGTGGTTCAAATTCACCAGTTGCTCCTCGGAAACCTTATGGGGGCGCTATAAGTCAGAACTGACTCAAAAGCACCTAACATCAACAACATACTATTGTTTTTAAAAAAAAGTTCTTTATATATACGACTAGGGAAAATTCTCCAAGGTAAACTGTTGAGGAAAACACAACGGAGAGAATAATCTGCTACCATTGCAGCAGAAAGGAAGTGGAAATCTGTATTATCTGAAAATACATTTATAAAATTTCTGGGAAGTTATACAAGTAATTGCAATAATTACCTACTAGGGATGAGAATGAAACAGAACTTGATGTATAGCCAAGTCTCAATCAATGGAAGCTATAATTAATCACCTCATCAGTATCACATCCTTAAGATATATACACAAAATACATTCAAATGAAATCCATAAGGAAATATATAGTCAAATCACAACTGTTCATACTGTCTAGTTGGAGACCCAATCCCTTCCTTTCCTCTTCAAAGGTAGGTAACTTTATGGTTCACTGAAGGCTAAGCAATGGACTACTAACTGCAAGGTCAGCAGTTCAAACCCACCAGCCACTCTTTGGAAACCCTATACATGGTCGCTATGAGAAGATCTGGCTCAATAGGGCTTAACAACAATTACTTCCACTGGAAAGTAAACTCAGGAAAAAACAACTTTCGAAGCTGAAAGGGACCATGAATATCCCATGGTGCAATCTTCTATTATGAAGAAACGAAAGTCTAGAGAATCCCCCAAATTAGTGACAGCTCAAAACTTTGGAACCTGTCCTTTGATTTTATTATTGATAAGATGGAGGGACAGCTAAATTGAAATTATTGATATTCTTCCTCCCACCCTTTATTATAAGGAGCTTTGGTAGTTCTGTGGGTTAGGCATTGGATTGCTAACTGCAAGGTCTGCAGTTCAGACCCACCAGCTGCTCCATGGGAGAGGATGAGGCTGTCTGCTGCCATAAGATTTACATTTCAGAAACGCTATGTAGGGTCACTCTGAGTCTGAATACTTTCAGTGGCAGTGAAGTTATTTTGTTTTTTATAGATAATTAAATTTGCAGACATAAAATCACATATACATTTTGACAATGAAAGTCCCAAGATTCCCAGCACCACTGAATGAAGATATGTAGTAAAATCTGTAAAGTATGCTTACACTCGAGATGGTAAGAGGCATGTTGAAATCCTTGCCACCTTGCAGCCGGAAACCCCAAGGAGCTGGGCCAACCAAGGACACGCTGTAGTTGCTCATGATTCTAATGGCTCAAGGTCCAGTCCCAGAAGACAAAAGAAACTGAAAAAAAATTAGATCGTTAATACAAGTACTTATCTGAAAGCCTATTACATATTTATATGTATTTAATATAAAATTAACTAAATTATGTTCTGTGTTATTTTCTGGGAAGAGGGAATACATATCAGTCTATGTTAATTCTCATTAATTTCAGTCTAAGAAAAGGAATCTATGAGGTAATATACAATTTTTATACTCATGCCAATTTCTACAGTATAAATATTTTATATTGTAATATGTTTCTAGAAACTTGTATCAATTTTATAAACTCCTATATCTAGTTTTGTGGCTCTTAGCATATAAAATTAAAGTACTCTACGACACTTCTTTATGTATATGTATACAGGAAAGAAAGGTGCTCTGGTAGCACAGTGGTTACGGATCGGGCTGTGAGCCTCAAGGTCGGCAGTTCAAAACTACCAGCTGTTCCACGGGAGAAAGATGAGGCTTTCTGCTCCCGTAAAGATTTACAGCCTCAGAAACCCTGTACAGGGTCGCTATGAGTCGGAATCGACTCCACAGCACATAACAACAACCTATAGGAAAGAAAAAGATTTCATTCCAGGTTTAATTCAAAATGATGTTCCCTTTCTCTCAAACTCACAGGTGGTATGCATTCAAATGGCAAGTAGTTCAATTTCATTTACTTAGTTCTAAGTTATTCTAACATATGAGAAAGACTGCAAATCTCTATACTTTAATTCCAAATACTAAATAATTTCAAATGAAAGGCTTTCTAAAGCACAAAACTATTTTCTTCAATCATTAACTACAACATATACAAAGGGCCTTTAAAAAGTTCATGGAAAAAAATGGAATTAAAAGATAGTGGAATTTTCCCATAAACTTTTAAAAGGCCCTTTACATTTGTTCTTGTGGTGGTAATGGTTATGTGCCCTGGAGTCAGGCTGTAAATCTTTACCAGAGCAGACAGGCTCATCTCTCTCCCACAGAATCGCTGGTAGTTTCAAACTGCTGTCCTTGAGGTTAGCAGTCCAACTCGTAACCACTATGCTACGAGAGCTCCTATAGGGAAGGATATGAGATTTTCCACACTTATATTAATGAATTGCACAAGGACATTCAAAAAGTTCATGGTAAAATTCTATTATCTTTTCGTTTCATTTTAACTTTTTGAAACTCCCATGTATATTTTTCTCTCAGAAGAGCAATGATAGACAATACTCTAGCACTGTAATAGTTTAGCTAGAACATAATTTTACTTTATAGGTATTTTATAGGTATACATGATCAAAGTAGAATAAGCACTTACCACAAGGTTAATCTTAATGCATGAAACTGGAATTTTAGAAAAGAATCAATGTTTTAAAGTGTTTGCTTTGAGGGGTTTTTTGGAGGTGGTTGTTGTTTCCTCTCTGTTTTACTGGAGTATGCTTATAAAAACATTCATGTTAATTCTTTCATAAAATAAAAAACTAAAGCAAAAAAAAGTATGACTCAGAAGATTGGTATTGGTTGTTATGTGGTTTTATGTGGGTAGGAGAGTTTGAGAGGACTGTTGCGTTTTTTTAAATATACTACTAAGAAATATGAGTGCCATCTTGAAAAGTATTAAAAACATAACAGAATATGTATAATTTTAGAATGTGAAAAATAGTTTTTAAAGTCTATTTAAGATTTTTTTTTTAATGTGAGCTGTTCAACCAAATCATCACCTCTCTTAAAATGTTTTTCCATTTGTTTAACCCATTCCAAATTTCTACCCCATCATACCAAATTCATAGTGGCAGATGCAGATATTCGAACCACTGAGCATATTAAAAACAAACTGATTCCTTCTCCTCCTGAAGGAAAAAATGAGGCAAAGTGTTCATGTAAGCCTGAATTTTAAAGAAAAATTAAATCAGTGAAATCTGCACATCTACCTAAGAATTAAATGAGTTTTTCCATTGATGTGGTAGTACACTGAATTACTATGCAATAATATATTACTTCACTACTGAAGGACTAGGCACAGGGCAATTAAAAGGACCCAAAGGCCAAGCCAATTTGACACAAAGTCAAACTGTTACAAATTCATGGGGGGGGGGGGGGAAGCCACACAATTTAACCAGTTTTCCCGCTGAAATAAAGAGCTTTCCACAGAACTAGGAGAGCAAAACTGCTTTTTGATATCAGCACGCAGTACAAATCAGAAGCATGCTAAGCAACTAGTATTTTATTTCACAGGCAGTCTGACATCTTTCTTTTTTAATCCTAACTTTGACAGAAGGCAACTATAAAAGTTGGGTTCGTCTTCCTCTGGTCCCATTGTTTCTATAAGAACATGCATCTCATTTCTCTATCAACCCTTGTACATGCAACTTCCCTTAATTAGGGTCCCTTCCTGATTGGTATTAAAATTTTAACACTGGCAGATCACAACCTAACTACAGAATCTGTGTTTCCCTCTCTTTAGTACTCTCCTTGTGCTAGCTTCATTCAGAATTCATTGGCCTTTAAACATTCAGATCCCCTAAGCAATGGCAATATTATTATTGGCCTTTTCCAGGTCTTGGAAATCATCTGGTTATTAGTGCCCAAACCCTTCCGAAAATACCCAAAAGACAGAAAAGAGTGAGCAGCTTACTGCTTTCAAATGCATGGAAAATATTGGAATTTCTGTGTTTTCTTTTAAAGAAAACCTAAACAATGCCTTTGCTTTAGAACTAGGGAAGAAAGCTCGGTATTTCCCACTCGTTTGTCCCAATCTCTCTAGTAGGTGAGAGTGGGGGTGAGTGGGAGGTGGAGAGTAGAACTCGTGCTAATTAGACAAGAAGAGCCTGAGAGAGTCTTCCTTCCCAAATGAAGAGAGGTGATGGAGGTAGAGCAGAGGAACCAAAGCCACAGCAACTAGATGAAAGCAGCCGACGAGACAGTTTTCCAGCAGGAGGTTCACGCCTAGCGCTGTTTGCCAAATAAGGCTCCCGAGCGGGCCGTTTCCGCGGCTGGCGGGTTCAGACGTCCTCACGGTCAGGAAGGCGGACTTGGGATAGGATCTGGTGATCCCACACCCTAGACCTGCCCTGCCCAGCGCAGCAACGAGTTTTCGTTCCAAGCTCTGCCCTGTCCACACGCCCTTCCTTTTTCCACTTATTGTCAAACTTACCAAAGACACATAAATCCCCAACTTGTACGCAAACACTGATCAATCTGGATCTCAGTCTTAGGTTTTGTTTTAATGATTTTTTTTTTTTTTCTGGACTCATGAATGCTTTCCCAATACAGGTTACACAACTGTTAATATTTGGGGTCAAATAAACGTTTCTCAGTAGCCGGAGATAAAATAAAAAAATTTTAACTGCACGCCTTTCCCGCTTCCTCCCCAAACCTTAGGAGGTCAACACAGACGTGGGTGTACAGGAGAACCGACATCGGTGCCCGGCAACGCCCGGCAGCCAGCCCGACGGTGGCGCGGGGGTGTCCGAAGTCCTTCGGCGTCCGCCCTCGCCGCTCCGATTGCGGACGGCGCACCGCTCTAGCGCCCTGGCTCTGCAGCGCTAGACCAGCAGCCCAGGCTCCGGGACTTCCCGCTCTCCTCCTCCCAGGAGCTCTTCGCCCTAAGCCGCACTCCCACCTCTGCCGCTCCCAACTGCGAAAGCACCTGAGGAGCCGCCTCTGTGCGAAGCGCGCCCCCTCCTCCTTTCCAGCTGGCTTTCCTCCGCGCGCCCCGCGCTCAGCGCCCGCTGCTATCCCTCCTCCCAGAGGATCCGCGAGCACATCCCCAGCGGCGTCCACTCACCACCGGTCCGAAACGGCACAGCCTCCGCCTCAGACGAGCGCTGACAAGTGTCTCGCAGTGCGCGCGCCGTCCCCACGGCCTGCGGGAACTTCCGCCTCCTGGCTCCCTCCAACCCCGCCCCGGGGCTGGGGAACGCCCCCTCGGCGCCTGGCCACGCCCCGAGCCCAGCAGAGCCTTCCCGGGGCGTGGAAGGCTTCCCGGGAGACCGGCGCTAGGGCTTGCTGGGGCGAGCCAAAACGATACCCTAAAACAATCGCTCTAGCGAGTTTCGGTGGGAGTAGTCTCCAGGGGATTTCTAACAATACATGGCAAAGGGCTAACCCTTTGCGTTTATGTTTTCTACTAGGTGCGTGTCTCTTTCCAGAAACCTTGGATTGGCAAAGCAGTTGCTCTGTCTAAAAATAGAAGGGGCTTTGGGTAAATCCCTGTCTCTGCGAGTTCCGCGGTTACAGCTTGGTGTTGCTTGTTTGTTGAGAAAGCTTTACGTTCTCTGAGAAATGCAGAGCCCGACTGAGTATGCTTGCAAAAAAAGTGAAATAACTCCAATATCTAGAAATTAAATTCTAGTGAATTGATTACATCTATTAAAAACACTAGTAGAGAATGTTTGCACTATTCGTATACTATCTGCTAAATTATTATTATCATTTTATTTTATTCTTATGACCGTATAAAATAGTTATGTTTTCATAACTAGCCGACAAAAAAGTTGAAAATTAAGAAATATAACCAAAGGCACACAGCTAGTAAGTAATAGAAGAGGGTCTGACTCCTAAACCACATTCTTTTCATTTCAACACACTGTTGTTGTGTGCCATCAGGTCGGTTCCGAATAATATTGACCCTGTATAGGGTTTTGAAGACTAGCGGATGGGTTTATACCGCCAACCTTGCAGTTCACTCGTGGCTCATGGCTGTGTGTCGTCGAGTCGGTTCCGACTCATAGCGACCCTGTACAGGGTTTCCAAGACTGTACATCTTTACGGGAGCAGAAAGCCTCATCTTTCTCCCGCCGAACAGCTGGTAGTTTCGAACTGCTGACCTTAAGGTTCGCAGCCCGATTCGTAACCGCTACGCTACCAGAGCTCCTTTTCACAGTCCAGTGCTTATCTTACAGCACCACACTAGGACTCTAATACACTGGGTGGTTGCTTGTGTACCACCAAGTCAGTTCAAAGTCATAGCGAAAGGGGCAGGAGCAGAATGCTTCGTCTTTCTCCCTTGAAGTGATTGGTAGGTTTGAACTGCTGACTTTGGGGTTAGAAGCCCAGTTTGTAATCAATCCACTATGTTTCTTTTTTTTGTTGTTATGTGCCTTCTAGTTGGCTTCAACTTATAGTGACCCTGTTTAGAGTTTCAGAGGAGTGGCTGATGAATTTGAACCGCCCACCTTGCAGTTCATACCGGCCAGAACTCCTGATTGTTGTTGTTAGGTGCAATCAAGTGGATAGGTACTCATAGCCCCCTTTTGCACAACAAAACGAAACACTGCCAGGTCCTCCTTCTTCAGCGACTGGTCACTCCTGATAACATGGCCGAAGTATGAGAGAGGAAATCTGGCCATCCTGGCTGCCAAAAAGCGTTCTGGCTGTACTTTTTCCAACGCAGATTACCGGGACTCTACCTCCTATGAAATTCGGTAACTCAACCGGCTTTAAGATTAGAGAAAGAAGATGGAAAACTATAGCAGCTAACATTGTTGAGGGCCTTGGAGGTGGAATCTATAGCAAATTATCTAAATAAAATTAAAGTATAGCATTATTTGTATCTGAGGGAGTTTGAAACTACTGAACCACCTCTGATAGGGCATGTGCTTTAACTTGTTTTATAATGAGTTGCCACTGAGCTATACTGATCCCCTGACCCATCTCCCTCATGACTAATGTTTATGAAATGGCTGGCCATGGTCTGAAGGACAGTCTGTAACTACAGACTAGAAGGAAGATAGCTGATCCGTTGGGAAATCAAGAGTGTCCTTGGCCTTAAAACTCCACAGTTAACCTATGAGGCACTGACCACAGAAAGCCATATTAAAAGTTAGACTTTATCATAACCAGTGCACAAAAAGCTGGAGTAGGGAAAAAGAAGGTAAATTAAAAAATTAACTGATTTAACAGGAAGAGTTTTAAAGAATATTCCATGTAAACACTGTATCTATGTAACTGTATAAATGCTTGGTAAAATGGAGGGTCAGTGAAAAGCAGGAAGACCCCCAACCCAGATGGATGGCCACTGTGGCAGCAGCAATGGTCTCAACCATAAAAACCCATTATGAGGCTGATGCGGGATCAGGCAATTTTGCTTTGTTGTGTATGGTTGCTATGAATTGGGACCTACTTGACAGAACCTAACAACAACAACAGCATAAATGTTTGCTCTAACATTTTATTATTGAATGTATGACTCAGAATCCTCTTGCAGTACTACAAAAATAACAAAAACTTTTCATCACAAGATAGCATGACCATGACAAGTTTTTACAATTGCACACAAACTGTCAAGTACCAGTCTTTAAAAAAAAAAAAAAATTCCTACATTACTCAAAGTCAATTTAAGTCCTAATCCTGACTTAATTTTTAATTTTTAAAGTCTAGGGAGAAAAAAACAAAACATTAAATATTTTAATACCTAAAGAAGTAGCACTTGGCAGTCTGGGATATAATTTAATGTATTAGGGTTGATCTGGGAGAGTAATTCTGACATGATGATCTTAAAAACGAAAAAGTTCACTAATATGATAAGAATCATTCGTTTAAAATTTCCAAGATCAACAACAACAAAAAACTTTACATTTTAAACACAAATTTACTACAATGGACTCATTTTCTAGGATTCTTTTTTCTCATGCTTACAAGGCTTTATGATCAATGGTGGTTGTGTACTACTGAGTCAGTTCCAACTCATAGAGACCCTGTATAGGGCTTCCAGAGTCCTAGTGTGGCACAGTGGGATAAAGCACTGGACCGACCACAAGGCGGGTTTAAACCACAAGGTCAGTGGTTCAAATTCACCAGCCACTCCTTGGAAACCCTATACAGGGTCTCTATGCGTTGAAACTGACTTGACACCACTTAACATCAACAACAATAGGGCTTCCAAGAAAGCCTCATCTTTCTCCCATGGAGAAGCTGGTAGATTTGAGTTACTGACCTAGCAGTTAACAGCCCAGTTCATAATCCACTATGCTAGCAGGGGTCTTTATACTGTATGCTGTGGTTGTTGTTAAGTGCAGTTGAGTAGGTTCCAACTCAGTGATCCTGTAAAGAGTTTCCAAGGAGTGGCTTGTGAGTTTGAGCCTCCGACCTGTGGTTCAAACTGACCTTGCAATCCAATGCTTTATCCTATAGCACCACACCAGGACTCCTTATATTATAAAGTACTTAAAAACTATTTACAATTCTAATTTCAGAAATCTTGTATTCTTTGACTTTAAAACTACTCTCATGCCCACTCATCTACCATATACAGGCAAAATCTAATTCAATCGAATAGCATGAGGAACAAAGTCTGAGTAGCAAACACCTAAAAAGTGAGCAGCAAATGGAAGTATTGGAGCAAAATAAATCTAAAAACAAAAATCCTGAAAGGATTCTAAAAGAAAGGGATGAGCATCTATTGAGCATACTCTACAAGCCATTTCACATTATGGTATTTAGTTCTGTAAACATACATAACCACATTTTATAGCACAGGTTTTCAACTTCTGCTGCATATAAAAATAATTGGACTGCACCCAAACCTACCTAAACCTGCATCATGAAGTAGTTCTCTAAATTGGGAAGGCAATCTTACCTCCTTTTAGCTGGGGAAACGAAAACAAGAAGGTAAGTAACCCGAACAAGTCACTAAAGTAATGTCAGACAAAGGAGTTGCATCTATGTATATCCTTATTTCAGAACCCATTTCTTTTCTAATAAGTCCATGCTAATAATAATTATCACCTTCTGTCTGCCAATTTGGCATACTATGTTGTTGTTGCTAAGTGCCATGGAGTTGGTTCCTACTCATAGCAACCCTATATAGTGTTTCTGAGGAGAAGCTGGTGAGTTTGAATCACCAACCATGTGGTTCAAACCAACCTTGTGATCCAGTGCTTATCCCACAGCGTCACACTAGGTAGCTTGCATATATTGCTGTGATGCTGTAAACTATGCCATCAGTATTTGAAATACCAATAGACTCACCCATGGTGGTTAGGTTTCAGCTGAGCTTCCAAATAAAAACCTGGAGATCTACTTCCAAAAACTGTAGTGATGATGGTGGTCATGTGCTATGGAGTTGGTTCCAACTTACACTGACCCCTGTATAGGGTTTCCAAAGCTGTAAATCTTTATAAGAGCAGAAAGCCACATCTTTCTCCCTTGGAGCAGCTGGTAGATTTGAACTGCTGACCTTGTGGTTATTGGACCAACTTGTAACCCTTTCCAAAAAGTTGTTGTTGTTGTTAAGTACTGTCAAATTGGTTCTGCCTCAGGGTTTCCAAGGAATGGCTGGTGGGTTTGAACCACCAGCCTTATGATTAGCAGTCCAGTGCACCACACCAGGACTCTGAAAACTAGACAATAAAAACTTTTTGAATCACAAGAGAACATTGTCTAACTCACTTACTTTGGATACATTATCAGGAAAGTTCAATTGCTGAAGGAGAATGCCATGATTGTTGAAGTGTAGAGCTAATAAAAGGGTAATCAAGAGGCTCTTGATTGGATGGATTGACACAATAGCCGCAACAATGGGCTTGAACATACTGGGGATTGTGAGAATGATGCAGAATAAGGGAGTGTTTCATTAAGTTGTGCGTCAGGTGCCATAGTCTACAGTCAACTTGACAGTACCTGACAACAATGCTGTCATTCATCACACACAAATAAAAACAAAGTCTAGCTATTAAACTAAGAAAGAATGTGAAATATAACCATGAAGTATGCAAAGATGAGGCAGATGCAGATTCTTTCCATACAAAATGTGTAATCAAATAAGTGAGATTAGACATGTTCAAAAGTAAATATATACAAACACACACATAAAACAATGGAAATTAGAAGGTATTAAGTGCTATGAGACAATTAAAAAAAAACAAAAAACAAAAAACCTGCTCTCCCAGAGGTAGGATTTTGAACA